ACTTTTAGTTTAGTCCCCATATTGGGGAGTTTGGGCACGTTTTTCAACCAAATTGTAATTTCATATTTTTGATTCTCATCTCCCTACCAAAAATGATAAATTTTGGTCCACATTTTAAGGTGGCCCCCATACAATAGTACCTCCCAAATTGCTGCATTTTAGGGAATTCGAGCACGGTTTCCAACCAAATTTTCTTTAATTTTATATATTGGGTAGAAAATCTTACTACCAAAAATTATCAATATTAATCTATGTTTCGGTGTAGCCCCCATAGAGCAGGACCCCATTATTCGGTATCTTGGGGAGTTTGGGCACGTCAACCGAATCAGCTGCAATTTGATATTTTGAATTATCATTGGTTAGAAAATCTATCTAACAAAAATTATCAATATTGGTCCATGTTTCGTGGTAGCCCCCATAGAGTGGTGCCTCCATTATTCAGTATCTTGGGGGTTTTGGTCATGTTTTTAACCTAATCCGAAGTAATTTGGTATTTTTGACAGAAAATTGGATAGAAAATCTCCCCAGCTAAACATGTTTCGTGGTACCCCCTATTCTGTTGTTTGAGCACTTTTTTATACCGTCTTGGCTAAAATTGGATTTTTCAGGTTTTCGTGGGATGTCAAGTCATCCTACCAAAAAATCGTACCGACAATTGTTCAGTATTTCGAAGGCTTTTCCACATTTTCCCATCGATATGCCTGCAATTTGTTATAAATGTTCTTGAAGGCTGACATACATATATACAGAAAATATCAATATTGGTTCATATTTGACATAGACCCCATTGAAGAGTAGCTCCCCTTGTCAGAGCTTCGTTTTAGTCGCATTTTTCCATTTTGTAGTTCTAATTTGCCATTCCCCAGAATATTAAAGGGAAAACTAAGACAATAAATTGTCTGTATAAGTCCAAGATTAGATATAGCCCTTATAAAGGTGCCGCCCCATATTCGGTTCTGTTATTAGCTTCTTAAGGGAACACCCCCCCCCCCATTCAATACCAATGCATGTCAAGGTTTGTAACTTTGCACATATATAATTGAAGCTTTAAAAAGGAAGACAAATAATTTACAAAAAATTTTTGTTATTGTTTTGTTGTTGGTTTTTGTAATTAAAGAAAAGTCCTTATTTTTGATGACGGGGATGATAACTCCTCACTGGAACATCGGAATCCGAAAATTCCAACGGTGTTAGAAAGAGAACATGTCTGGCTTTCGTATGAACTAGGATTATTGACTTGCTCTAAAATTAACAAAATGGCGGACCTTTGAAAAAATATTTTTGGAAAATCGCCGATTTTTGACCAGAAACCAAGATAAAAAATAAGGAAGATCTTCACCTATTGACTTTATCATAGTTCATACGATAGCAGTACACTCACAGAGAAACGTGTAAAAATTTGGAATCGATTGGGTTATTAGTTTTTGAGTTATCGTGCCCGCCATTCGCAAAAGAGATAAACGCGTTTAAAGTTTGAAAAGCCCTTTATACGTCACTTGATGCTGACACAATAAATCGGCTATATCTTCAAGAGTTCTTGATATTTTCACTTGAAATTTTGTAGGGACATTCTTGAATTTGTGTAGATTCGAATTAAATCAAAAAAATGTTTGACCCCGAGAATGGGGGGGGGGTCCCCTTAACCGAATTTTCTCGTCCATGGGACAATAATTTGGCACATAGAATACTTGGGGGTATAAAAACTTCTTTCCAGAAAGAATTCAATATCGGTTAATGTTCCTACCCCAGTTTTCCAAACTGAGTATTTGTAATAATAAGGAACAATATTATTTTTTAGAGCATGGTTGGTCATGCTTTAAAAAAAAATAATTAATTATATTACCACATAATTCAAATAGCATAGTCCTAATATAAAAGTCCCGACCGATTAAGGCAATATTAAAAGGAATTGTTGAGGCACCGTACGTGGTGGAAGATATAACAATTTCGATGCGGCCGAACTTAACAATATTTTTACTTGATTTAAATTCACCATATTTTCCGTATTTACATATTTAATTTCTACTTTTTCTGATGTTATTAAATCCCGAAACTAATATCGCTAATGTTGGGCGCCACTTAAAAAAAAAGAAATAAGTCATATTCCCTCTAAATATTGTTGCGTATTAATCAAGATCTATTAATAAGGTCACCCAGCTAGCGTCAAAAAAGTCAGCTGATTTTGACAGCAAACTTGAGAGGCAGTTGATATCCAGAAGGTCTCCTTGGACGACCTTATTTATAGGCCTTGGTGTTAATTTAATTAGGCATTTTAAAATCTAATGTCAAAAATTTGGACTTTGTTTACGTTTTCACAATGGAAGTCAATACACAATAGTGGATTTTGACAGCAAACTTGAGAGGCAGTTGATATCCAGAAGGTCTCCTTGAACGACCTTATTTATAGGCCTTGGTATTAATTTATTTAGGCATTTTAATTGAATAACCCATCCACTGTGCATTTGATCTTTCCTGTTTTTGTCTCTTTCTCTCTCTCCCACTCCCGCACTCTCTCTCTCTCTCTTTCGGCTTTGCACTGCTTAATAAATTCACAATAATTTATCTATGCAAACTTTACAATAATCTATTTAAAAAATCGTGAAACTAATATAAAAAACTAATTGCTGAAAATAGCATTTCTTGAGTAAGAAAAATTCAATTATATATTATTTTTTTTTTAAATGAAGCCTCATATACTTCTTTAAAAAAAAAAAACTCTTTTAAAAAGGCACAGTAATTAAAAAAAAAACAAATAATAATTACTAACGAAATATAATAATAATACTAATAAATTTAAAATAAAAATACTCTGTGCCATTTTGTGTAAAAAATATAATTAAAAAAATACAAAACTTGAAATTATGTTTTAATTATTTTCAAAATTTTTAAAATTTATATTTTTTGTTAAATATATATATTTTTTATTTTGTTGCTAATTATGTGCTACTTTGTATCTTTAAACAATAAAAAAACAAAAAAAAATTACTAAAAATAAATGAAACTATATACACACATACAAATGGAAACTAATAATATTAACTCTACAACAAAAAATGCATACATACAAAAACCAACAACTATTATCTAAATATTGTAATGAAATATTTAAGTTTATGTATCGACAAATTTTCAAATGTTACATGTTTTAATGTAAAAAAAAAACAAAAACAGAAAAACAAAACAAACAAATAAATTAATATTTAATTTTAAGCTAAAATAAAAATATAAACAAATAAATAATAACAATAATTAATAATATATTGATGTTTCATTTGAGTCCATAGGATATTGATATTTGATATTTTGGATAATTATTGGGTGCCGTATCTTACAAAAAAAGTATAAATCGTGTCAGTCCGTGTTGCCCGTGTGTCAGATATATACCATCATACCCATGCGAAGGTCTACGGAATCATTCACAGATTTCATTATTCGTTGTATAAAAGGTATATAGGTACCCGAAGAGGTGTTACCCCATGGACCCCATTTTTCGATCTAAAGTATGTTTTTGGTAAAACATTACGATATGCAAACAATGAATTAGAACCTAAACACAACCAGAGAGTCAGCGACGGTCGTTTACCGTGAGTTTCTTATTGACAACAGGAAATCCCGACGGATCGATTTTATTCATTTTGCTCAGCATCATACACAAATTTTCTCTCTTGTTCTCAATTGAGTTGCCATATTTTAGATAAAAAATTAAAAATATATTAAAGTCGGACTGCGCCGACTATATGATACCCTTTACCACGTTGGGTATATTGTACATATGTATCCTTACAATTGTATGTCAGTGTTGCCTTGAAGGAACATATTCATATATATATATATATATATATTTAAGGAAGCTATGGCTGCATCTGTACCAATTTCATCAAAACGCAATAACGTCATTCAAGTCTCAATTTGATACCATATGCCCCATTTCGTGCAAATCGAAGGATATATAGGGACTTTGATGCACTATTTACCTAGAATCGACCGAAAATATATATGGGAGCTATATCTAAATCTGAACCGATTTTTCCGAAACTTACTACTCATCTTTCATGATTCAATTCATTGCGCTATGCCAAATTTCGTGCAAATCGAAGGATATATAGGGACTTTGGTTCACCATTTACATAAAATCGGGGAAAATTACATAAAGGAGCTATATCTAAATCTGAACCGATTTTTCCGAAACTTACTACTCATCTTTCTTGAATCAATTCAATACGCTACGCCAAATTTCGTGCAAATCGAACGATATATAGGGACTTTGGTGCACTATTTACCTAAAATCGGACGAAAATAGATATGGGAGCTATATGTGAATCGGAACCGATTTTCACGAAACATAACACACATCACTCTAGACTTATTTCAGTACGCTGTGCCAAATTTCGTGGAAATCGTACGATATATAGATTCTGTGCATACTTTGGTGCACTATTGTGCACCTTAAAAAACCGGACTGTTAAAAAACATACATATGGGAGCTATATCTGAAAAAATCTCTTTGAAAAAAATCGTTTTTCACGAAAAAAATTTAACACACATCGTTGAAAAAAAAAAATATTTTTCAAACAATTGAGTCCTGAAAAAAATTTAGTACGCTATGCCAAATTGAAAAAAATATTTTTCAAACCATTGTAGTCCTTTGAAAATATGTACTTATAGTCCTTTGAAAAAATATTATTTAAAAAATCCACGCTTTATATTCCTTTGAAAAAAAGTCTTCAATAAATTCCACGCTTGTAGTCCTTTCATTCTTTAACAAATCCACGCGTATTATTCAGATAATTGCTCAAAAAATAATATTTATGGATTCATGCTTATAGTACAGCAAGTTCTGCACAAAAATTTTCACTTAAAGTTTTGATAATTCCTTCAAAAAATCATTTAAAATAAAAAGTATTGAAATGTCCGAGTTTTTTCGCTTTTCAAATATTCTAATTTATTACAACTTTTTCTTTGTATTCGAAATTTAATTTTCATTACAAAATGATTGTCTACTACCATCTATAGGTGTAAATGCCACCACCACGATAATCTGGACGACTGTTACCATAAGGTCCACCCACATGCTGGCCATAGCCGGCTGTAGCATCAAATGAATGTTTGCCATTGTCACTGGTCCAAATGTTCTTGCGAACATCGGCATTTACGTTGTAGCCATCCTTGGGGGAGCCACCAACATTCACATTGACCTGCGGATCCTAAAAGGATGATAATAAAATTTTTAATCACTAAAAACAAATTGTAGAACATTAACTCTTCGTACCTTAATTTGTGGTGGTGGCGGAGGTTGTGATTTCTCATCGGCAAGTGCGAGTGCACTTAGGGTGCACACAAAAACAATTGCAAAAATATATTTCATATTTGGTTTCAGACTTGACTGCGATTGTTTCGAATTGTGTTTGGAAACTGTGATGACTGTGAGCTCATCTGTGGTTATTTATTGAAAAAAAAAACACATTTTTATTAGTATTTTAAGAAAGTATGGTAAGCAAATATTTTGTGGGGAATTACTTTCAATACTTCCCCCTTTAATTATATATGTATGCTTATGCATTATTATAAGAAGGGGATTTCTTAAACGAAAAGATTAGACATTATGATAGGATGAGGGAGATAACCTTGCCGTTGAAAAAAAAAAATGCAAAAACCAGGGGTGTTATATTTTAAAGAATATATTTTTAATAATATTTTGTTAAGGTCTATAAGGGTGTATTTAAAAAAAAAAAAACATTTTTCAATGATCTATAAACATGGATTTTTTAAGGAATAAATTTTATCAAGGGTCTATGGATGTGAATTTTTAAAAGGATATATTTTTCAAAGGACTGTAAGCCGGAATTTTTTAAACAGTATTTTTTATCAAAGAACTATAAGAAATATTCTTAAAAGGTGGATAATTCTATAGACGTGGAATAAAACCAGTAAGGAAAGTAGTAAAGTCGGACGGGGCCGACTATATGATACCCTTCACCACTTTGGGAATATTCAACAGATGGAAGCCTAACAGACATCACATTTTTGAAGGACCATTAATATGAAATTAAACAGGTCTTTCTGCAACCTATGAATTTTGGTCAGATATAGAGTTGCTTCCTACAATAGGACAAGATTATTTAAATTAATTTAGAGCAACATATCTAATTGTATACCGATTTCATCGAAACTTGTCACATGTTAGGTTACACTTATTTTAGTATGTTTTGTGCATTCGGCCAAATTTTAAGTTCTTTATTATATATAAAAACATATAGCGACTTTGGTGCACCATTTACTTTAAATCGAACAAAAATATATATGTGATCTATATCTAAATCTGAACCGATTTTTAAAAAATTAAAAACACATATTTCTAGACTTAATTCAGTACGCTATGCCAAATTTCGTGAAAATCGAAGGATATATAGGGACTTTGGTGCACCATTTACAAAAAATCGGACGAAAATATATATGGGAGCTATATCTAAATCTGATCCGATTTTTATGAAATTTTACACACATCATTCTAGATCTAATTCATTACGCTGTGCCAAATTTCGTGCAAATCGAATGATATATAGGGACTTTGGTGCACCATTTACAAAAAATCGGACGAAAATATATATGGGATTTATATCTAAATCTGAACCGATTTTCAGGAAACTTTACGCACATCATTCTAGACCTAATTCATTACGCTGTGCCAAATTTCGTGCAAATCGAATGATATATAGGGACTTTGGTGCACCATTTACAAAAAATCGGACGAAAATATATATGGGAGCTATATCTAAATCTGATCCGATTTTAATGAAATTTTACACACATCATTCTAGACCTAATTCATTACGCTGTGCCAAATTTCCAGCAAATCGAAAGATATATAGGGACCGTTTACATAAAATCGGACGAAAATATATATGGGAGCTATATCTAAATCTGAACCGATTTTTCCCGATTTCAATAGGGTTCGTCCTTGGGCCAAACAAGTGACATATGCCAAATTTCATCTAATTCGGAGCATAAATACGACCTGTACTTTGTTTACAATTTAACATGGACAGACAGACGGACGGACATGCATAAATCGACTCAGAAAATGATTCTATGCATATTCTCAAAAGGAACCATGTGTCTATCTCGTTTCCTTTTTCCTATTACAAACATATGCACAAAGACATAATACCCTGTACCACAGTGTGGTGAAGGGTATAAAAAAATATTAAAAGGACAATAAGCTAGGATTTTTATTTTTCCAATAAGCGTGACTTTTTCAAAATATTCGTAAAATTATTAAAAAAAAACATTCTTCAAACAATCCACGCATATAGTCATTTAGCATCCTTTGAAAAAAAAGCGGGTATTTGTCAAAAAATGTTTTTTATTATTTGAATATTTTTTAAAAAATCCACGCTTATAGTAATTAAAAAAATATATTTTTTAAACAAAATCCTATAAGCGTGGATTTTAAAAAATATTACTTAAAAAACTCACGCTTGTCGTAAATTAAAAAAAGAAAATCATTAAAAAAATTCCACGTTTACTGTCATTCGAATAAAAAAATATTCTTTAAAAATATAAATATTATTTAAAAACAAATGAATATAGTCCGTTAAAAAATGTTCTTTAAAAGAACACGGCTATGTTCATTGGAAAAAATATTCTTTAAAAAATCACGCTTGTAGTCCTATGAAGAAAAACATTACAAAAAACAAAAATAAATATCCACGCTTATAGTTCATCAAAAAGTGAATATTTTAGTTCTTTAAAAAATATATAAAACATTCACGCTTTAAAAAAATATTTTTAACATATTTTTAAATAAAAATAAAAAGTATTATTTAAAAAATTCGCACTTATAGTCCTTTTGAAAAAAATATTCTTTAAAAAAATCTATGCTCAAAGTTCTCTTAACACCTTTGAAAAAATCTTTAAAAACTACACGCTAATCGTCCTTTGAACTCCTTTGAAAACATATTTCTTAAAAAGTATTCTTTAAAACATATTCTTTAAAGTCCGTTGGAGTTCTTTGAAAAAGTATTTCTTAAAAACCACGCTATAATCCTATAATCGAAGTCTATAGCCTATTGGAGTCCTTTGAAAAAATTGTATTACAACATCCACGCTTATAGTCCTTTGAACTTCATTAAACAAATCCACGCTTATTGTTCTTTGAACCCCTTTAAAAAATATTCTTTACTACAACCTTATAGTCCCTTGGAAAAAATGTTATTTAAAAAATCTACGCGTATAGGCCTTTGAACTCCTTTGAAAAAAAAATATTCTCTAAAAAATCCACTCGTATAGGCCTTTGAACTCCTTTGAAAAAAATATTTAAAAAATCCACGCTTACAGTCCTTTGGACAAAATATATTTTAAAAAATCCACCCTTATATTCCTATGTTGCATCCTATGATGTTTGAAACAAATTTTTTTCTAAAAACTCCACGCTTATAGTCCGTTTGAAAAAATATTATTTAAGAAATCCACACATATAGTCCTTTGAACTCCTATAAAAATATACTTTAAAAAACAACCCCTACAGCCCTTTAAAAAAATATTCATTACTAATCTACACGATTATTGTCCTTTTGAAAAAAAATTATTCTTTAAAAAATCTATGCTCATAGTTCTTTTAACACCTTTGAAAAAATCTTCAAAAACTCCACGCTAATCTTACTTTGAACTCCTTTGAAAACATATTTCTTAAAAAACTCCCTCTTAAGAACCTATGTCTCATATATAATATTAAATGAAAACCATACATACATACATAATTAAAAGGGGAAGTATTGCATGTAATTCCCCACAAAATATTTGCTTTCTTTAAGAACAAAATCAATTTTTTTCTCAATAAATAACCACACACAGTGCTCTCAGCCATCACAGTTTCAAAACACAATTCGAAACAAACGCAATCGGGTCTGTCGACTTGAGTCTGAAACCAAAAAAAAAAAAATGAAATATATTTTTGCAATTGTTTTTGTGTGCGCCCTAAGTGCACTCGCACTTGCCGATGAGAAATCACAACCTCCGCCACCACCACAAATTAAGGTACGAAGAGTAAATATTCTACAATTTGTTTTTAGTGATTAAAAATTTTATTATCATCCTTTTAGGATCCGCAGGTCAATGTGAATGTTGGTGGCTCCCCCAAGGATGGCTACAACGTAAATGCCGATGTTCGCAAGAATATTTGGACCAGTGACAATGGCAAACATTCATTTGATGCTACAGCGGGATATGGCCAGCATGTGGGCGGACCTTATGGTAACAGTCGTCCGGATTATCGTGGTGGTGGCATTTACACCTATAGATGGTAGTAGACAATCATTTTGAAATGAAAATTAAATTTCGAATACAAAAAAAAGTTTTAATAAAATAGCATACTGGAACATTTCAATACTTTTTTAAAATAATTTTTTGAAGGAATTATCTAAACTATAAGTGTGTATTTTTTACAAAACTTGCTGAACCATAAGCATGAATTCCTTAGGCAATATTTTTTTAAGCGATTATCTGTATAAAGGATTTCAAGAGGATATAAGCGTGGATTTTTACAGAATATTTTTTTCGAAGGACTAAAAGCGTGGATCTAAAAAAATATATTTTTCAAAGGATTTCAAGTTGAAATAAGCTTGGAGTTCAAGTATAAGCGTGGATTTAAAAAAAATGTCAAAGTGTTCCAAGAGGATATAAACGTTGATTTAATTTTTTGCTTTTTTTCAAATATTAAGAGTATATACGCGGGGATTTTTAAAGAATACTTTTTTCAAAGGACTATAAACGTGGATTTAAAAAATAATATTTTTTCAAAGGATTTCAAGAGGATTAAAAACAAATTAAAAGATTCCAAGAGGATATAAGCGTAGATTTTTAAAGAATATTTTTTCGAAGTACTAAAAGAGTGGATTTTTAAAAAAAATATTTTTTTCAAAGGATATCAAGTTGATATAAGCGTTGATTAAAAAAAATATCAAAGGATTCCAAGAGGATATAACCGTGGATTTTTACAGAATGTTTTTTCGAAGGGCTATAAGCGTGGATTTAAAAAAAAATATTTTTTCAAAGGATTTCAAGAGGATATAAGCGTAATTTTGTAAAGAATATTTTTTTGAAGGACTATAAGCGTGGATTAAAAAAAATATTTTTTCAAAGGACTTCAAGAGGATATAAGCGTCAATTCAAAAAAAAAAAAGATTCCAAGAGGATATAAGCGTGGGTTTTTAAAGAATATTTTTTCCAAAGGACTATAAGCGTGGATTTTTAAAGAATATTTTTTCCAAAGGACTATAAGCGTGGATTTTTAAAGAATATTTTATCCATAGGAGTTTATAGGAATGTTAGAGTGGAATTTTTAAAGAATATTTTTTTCCAAAGGAC